AAACAAGATGTGAGTGCGACAGGGCGGTAGCTAGAACAGTCATGTACGCTATCTTTCTTGTGAATAGGTATTACCGATGCTTCTTTCCATGGACTGGGAAAAATTGACAGGCTAAGGGACAAATTTAATAATTTCCCATCCGGACCGGTCGCTTTTGATGTGTCCAGTGACATTAAAATATCTCTGACGTCATCGCGGGTTCATTAATATATAATCTATTTGCTATATTTTAAATTGTAGTATATTTTTAGATAGACATATTTTACTTCACCAATCTTTGAAAATAGTTCGAGCCAAACTGTTTATACAGTCATAGGACTTAAATATACGTCAGTCGGCAAAATTCTCATAGACTTGCATGCTATTTTAGTGTAGCTGTGTAATTTTCATTAATTCAGTTTTCCATATTTGGTTGTCAAATTTTGCAGGTTGTTAGGAAATCATCTTAGTACCAGATACATACTTTTCCGCATTGTAGTTACATGAGCAACATATATACAACATTGCGTATTCTTTCCCCATGGACTGCCATGTTAAAAATTGCCATAACCATGACACGCACTGAATTGCAAATAAAACGGAAATTATGTCTTTGTAGCTGAGATGATTCATGACCCATGTGCAGAATATGAACAATATCAAACGGATATTAAATAAATTCAAGACATATTTCTAGCTGCACCAAATTAACATGTAAGTCGAATAATGCATAGTGACGAATACCTGGCCAGTGGCTGTAATTCGATAGATTAGCTTGTTTACCAATCCGGATTTCTGTACGTAAAGGAAATAATTCATTAAACGTTATTTGACAACAAAATAAATTGGTCTTACCTGACAGGGTCGTGGTACTGCGAGTTTTTCACAGCCATTTCCATCTTTCTTTTCCAGGTAGCGAATTCTCTCTTCCAGCATCTCGCAAAGACTCACGGGAAAAACACTTTGTTGTTGTTTTTTAATCTAAATCTAACATTACAGTTTGACAATATCTTTCCGCGTTATTCAACAAAATAAACATACACTATACACATAAAATGTCAGCTGTGTGTTTTTATAATGATTTAGGTAGTCTCGCGTGGACGTGATCCGGTCGCCATTGTTTTATTTGTTTACATTTCCGACATCAAAGGGGACCGTGAAAGGTGGAAATGAGCAGATTGAATGTGAGTACCCAAAGTGACAACAGTGGGCTGTTATGGGCTTAAGGGTCTTTTGATCGCATTATGGGCACTAATTGCTCCTCCTCAGTGTCAAGCATGAACATGTAGACCTAGAGATAATTAACAGTGAATAAATCTTAAAACATATTCACGTTACTTTAAAAGTCCTGATCGAGCTTCATTGTCCTACTCATGAGAACTTGTGTTAGTGGGAACCCTGTCAGGAGTAGGCAATATACGAAAATATTTCTGCTGGACGTAAAACTTCATCATGTAAGTAATTTGCCTATTGAGCTCAAAACATGCAAGTTTATTAGACATGCTTATATTAAGTTCATTCTTTTCAGTTCTACACCTTGATCTACGTATACTATTCCCATGTATTATAAGTTTACTTATCTAATTTTGCAGTATATATCACTAGTTTATATGTAATGTCAGCTCAATATATCTGAGTGAGTGAGTTTAGTATTATGCCGCACTCAGCAATATTCCAGCTATATGGCGGTATTTATCCAATTATACCAGTTCATCTATTTTATCATTTTATAACCACTAAAACAATTATTACATATACTTTACACTCATAGCTTTGTGTAATAATTTGTGTAATCAATTATTAAACCTCTTAGACTTACAATGCATTGACACAAGTCACGTATAACATTTCTAAAAGAATCATTGTTTCAATTATTTGATTTACAGATACGTATTGTGGATCCACTGACTTGTTGGAGATTGACAAGAGGCTTGGCTTGGTAATCATTTATAGTTACACCATACCATGCTCCTAATTTCATTAAAGGAAATCTTAAAACAATATTTTTTATTCATCAGCATTTAGTCAAAAACAAGTAAACACTAAATAGATACATATAATTATTTTCTTTATCTTTGTAAAAAATATAATAACTCAAAATGTAACAGTGCGTGGATTCCAGTGTAATTATAAAATGATATGTTTTTTCAGTTCCAAGAAAAAGACCAAGTTTTCTGTCCGCATTGCCTGTCGTTTATTTCAAGGAAACAAGGAATCCGTCTGGAATGGACGGCAGTTTCTTATCAGGTTAGTCGTCAAAGATACTTCACTTCATAGGTTTCACAGGTTTCACTTAACGACTTCAGTTTGATCTGTCCCTTTGCTATCCATCATATATCAATAATGAATATACTTAATTATTGTATATCAGATATGTAACTGTAACTGAAAGTGAATAAGTTGTGTTACACATTTTACAGTTTTTAAATTAAAGTAAAAGTCACATTAAAAAATAATATTTTATGTTATTATATTGCTGTGAATGTTTCCTTAGAGGGTTGATAAAACTAAGAAATACCCACGATTTTTCATTTATGGGAAATGTTAGGTTTTGTTGGGGTGAGGTTCTGATATGAAACTCAAGTTATAACACGACCTCCGCAAGTTGTTCTTTGTCTTCAGATGGGGCTAGGTTGGATCGGATGCAATCGTCTGGGCTCGTTTTTTCGTAATTGTTTACACGTTGGCGTGACTGGGGTGGAAAAGTGTTGAGTGTGGCGTAAAACAATACGAAATTCAAAAATGCAAAGAATTGTCATTCTAGTTATGTGTATAATTATAAGGGGATACGTACGCATAGATTCCAACCGATAGGCTAAGACACGTCTGTGCAGGCAGATTATGATTCATGTGCAACGATCTCTGAATTATCCAACGCATAATAGTAAAGTCACAGAGGCCCAGATAAGCTGCGTATCCGGGTAAAATACGCATCGAAAATTTCCAATTACGCATTGAAAAATAATTGTTGCGTACCAATTACGCATTTAAAATGTTAGATACGCAAAAAAGGTTCAAACAAATGCGTACGGAATATATTTATAAATATCGTTTGCGTAATGAAAAAGACATCGATTGCTATCAAGTTGTACTGTTAGTATAGGACAAGTGTTGTACTGTCAGTATAGGATGAGTGATTTTTTATGAAATCATTTCCATTATATTTAAGTTGGTTTTGATTAGGTATGACATAAGGCAGAACATACCTGCTTAGTAAACTTACTCAATGACATAATACTTAGGTGAGTAAAATGACTGAAATACGCACATATTTGAAAGCAGTGGGTAACGGAAAATGAAATACCCACTCAACATTCATAATACCCACTCCAAAAAAATACAGTGGGTACAGTACCCATATGAGCTAAATCTTATCTGGAGCTCTGAGTAAAGTGTAACAAAGTGCAACATAAAAAAGTGAACTAACTGCAACGCGTAATATTAGAGCAAACTGAACGCAAGGCAGTAAAGTATAACAGTCGGTCCAACACAGTAATGAGCAACAATTAGTTGAACACATGACTCTAATAGTAAAGGAAAAAGTAGACTCTATAGCCCAGCGGATAAGTGATCAAATTGTGCACTTCGTGTTACAAGCATGAAATTTGGCATGATTGTAGCTTATACCAATCTTATTAAATAAAGATCGAGAGGCCTCGCAGATTGTTTGTATTTTTTCATATTTTTGGGGAAAAAAGTGAAAAATGATATTTGTTTCTACTATTTTCATCATAACTTTTTCTAATATTCTCCAATTCTCATAAATCATATATCAAATTGTAGAATATTCCTAGCTGATCATTTTCCATATATACATGTCTTGTCTATCTTTAATGGTTAGGTCTATGGAAGTCAATTTATATCATGACAACCCGAAAAATGGCCACCATGTCGACTACAACAGTAAAATAAGTATGAGATCATCCCATGATATAACATTTTTTTATCATTTCTTTGCAAATTCAAAACGAGAAGCCTCGTAGATATTGGCCATTTTTCATTTTATTGGGGGAGAAAAAATGAATTTTCCGAAAAATGTTATCTCAACTCAATTTTAAATCCTAATAAATTATGTATCAAGAATATTGCAAGCAGATGAAAGTTTATTTGAAGGGATATATCAGAAGATTTACATTTATCATCCAAAACTTAGTTCCACAGGAGATGACCGCCTCCGTGGTGTAGTGGTTAGAGCATCCGCGGATGGTCGCGGGTTCAATCCCTGACCGCGTCATACCAAAATACGTTAAAATATGGTACTTGTTGGTCCCTGCCTGGCATTAATGGATACAACAAGGACTGGTCGGCTCGGAGTCAGTATAATGTGTCTGAGTGGGGTATTCATGCTTCACTGCGGCATGGTATCTCAGTGGGCTAGCACTATAAAACCAGCTTCAGTCTGGGCTAGTACAAGCAGCCGCACATACACATACACACGCATGCACGTCGTCATATGAGCGAAATATTCTCAAGCACGACGTTAAACCCAATTTCACCTCACCTCACCTCCACAGGAGATATCGTTTTGACAGTACAATGCTCTGATTTTGTACAATGCTCTGACAATGCTATGACGTCATGAACTGATGACGTCACAATGCTATGACATCGCTGCACTGCAAGTCTAGTGGTAGTACAGTGTTGAGAGATTTACAGTTTTCATTGAAAAGTTATGAAGAATGATTTTTTACGATAAATAGAATCTCACCCTCGTGTCTACTGATATCAACACTCGTTGATAAAGGTAAAAATAAAATGTGTACCTTTATCAAATCGTGTTGATATGATTGATATCAGTAGACACGAGGGTGAGATTCTCTATGTATAATGTATGAGTTTGTTTGCCTATGGATCACCTATAAAAAACATATCAAAATCAACGCAAACATGTTTGATTTCAACATCAATGTCAAAGTAGCTATATTTAACAATCTGTGGCAGGTTACTCAATTATGTCTTGAGTGGAATTGTATCTAGCTTGACTGAATTAGAAAATCAATTAGTCTCTTCCACATTTGCACAGTGCAGTGCACTTTAGAGCTGCTTTTACATACTTGGACCGGTTTGAACATTTTTACACAGTATTTATTATTATTAGCATATATAGGATATTTGTATATCAAAAAGTTCTTTCTTGTTGGCATCACACCTCATAAAATCTTGTCAGTTCTGAGGAACACATGAATTGGCTTCCACTCGTCGTCCTTTTCCACTTCCTCTTTTTGTTCTTGCACTGGATTTTACGTTGCGTGTTGATATTTGTCCCAAACAGCATACACTCTCTGATTAGAGTTCAGAGGAGTATGCAAGTATTTCAAGACCACATTATAAAATATCCATCCAATGTTATTTGAGCTGCGGGTTTTAGCATGTTTATTACTGCGACTCCATCAAGGATTGATACGTCAACATCTGGTTTTGAGTCAGTTTGTGGTGAAATGTCTTCAAAGCAATTGAGAAGAACTGATTTTGTGCATGGACGTAGAGAACCTTGATGAGATCTAGATGGTACGCAAGAGTGATATTCATGTCTGAAAAACTGATTCAGGTTCCCATCCCTTGACTCGTCTGTGTATATCTTGTCTTTATGGAAGAAATTTTACATTCATACTGTTGACATAAATGTGGTTGTGTTGGCCATAGCTGCAACAAGCGTTCTCGATCCCTACCAATGTTTCACAGCTTCACAGGAAGTGGCAATGTGTCATCCTTTGGTAGAACAGGAAAGAAGACATCGTGGAATGGATGGAACGCGTTTACTGAAATTACAGGCACCTTTATTTCCCTCGCTCGTCCACCACTTCAAATCACTAATGCACAGATTCATCAGCTTGAAAGATTTGTTGTGCTGCAGACAGAGCAAGCAACCACATGAAAGTGAATGAAGCAAGAAACATTTGTTCCCCACGAAGGGGAGAACATTGGACAATATACCCCCAACAGAATCAGCTTTGATCCAACATATAGAGAGCTGTATATCAGGGGGCTTATGTTTGGGGGCAATCTCTGATGAAATCACAGGAGTTACCAAGCCCTCTGGATAGGGGCTGGCAATAACTTTCTCAGGGAGAGCTTGTACCTCTATTTTCAAGTCTTCTGAAGGCATCAAAGAGCTGCCAGGAATTGCTGAAATGCATTGTGGGCGAGCGGGGGGCATGGTGGGCGAGCTGTCGTAGGCACCAGGCTAGTGATCCAGCGAGCTTGCCGGGATCGAGCCCACCTGTAACCAGCTGTAAAAACCTTGGAGTCAACTTTCTGTGCAGACTCTTTCAGTGTTGTCACAACCCTAGAGTACAGTACACAACCCTGTGCACTTAAAAGAACCCATGAAAATGTTGGTAAATGACAAGATGGCGGCCACATGATTACGTGCAAATACCTAGTTGCGGGTACAGTAACGTGCAGTAAACCTGTACAAGGTACTGTGACTATGTGTCCCAGTCCACCCAGCTGTGAATGGGTACCTCGCAAGGATGGGAAATCCGCAATAACTTGGTGCGCCGAGTGGCTGCAAGAGTTGTATGTTGCCCCGGCAGTTGAGATTGATAATACAATGTGCCGTTGAGATTGACATCCAATGATCAAGGGTGAAAAAACCAAGCGCCTTGAGCATGTATCAGTTCGTGGATATGTGCGATATATAAATATCCTATAATATAATAATAATGATAAATATTGTGCACTGTGCAGATGTGGAGGAGACTGTTTCATCTTCATTAAGTTAGGATGGCTTGTGAACACAAAGATTACACATGGATTGGACATCATCAATTTATTTGATCGGTAGCCATGTTGTGTACATCAGTGACCTTCTTTTACACAAAAGTTGTACAGGCACCCAAAGAAGGAATCAGATTAGGGATGTATATAAAGTTGGAATGGTTATGACTAAATCGCAATATCGACCACTTGACGTGTAGGTAGTTGGGTTTCTCATCAGAATGCTCTGAGGTCGGACTGGATAGTCTTGCTTCATCGGTGAGCTGGACGTTGGTTCAGGTGTTGTTGGTTGGTGTGGAATTACTGGTCTTTCATATACTGAGGGCTGGTCTGGTTGAAAGAGTTCTTTGGTGGGGTTTATGTCACGTCGATTTCTCCGATATGCAACACCGTTCATAGTTTTCAGATGGTAAGACCTGGGAGTATCAGCTGGTTTTGTGATCGTTGCTGGTACCCAATCTCTTCCAAGTTTCACTCGCACTTTGTCGTCCGGATACAGGGGTTGTCGAACTTTGGACGTTCGATCATAATAATGTTTCTGGTACATTCGCGCCTCTGTTATTGCCTTCCGAACATTCTCTGGGTTGACCACTTTCGGTTGCAACATCTCATTATGGCAAGGCAAGTTTGTGTCGAGTCTTCGACTCATCAGCAGTTGAGCAGGCGATCCAAGAGCACATACAGGGGTGTTCCTATATGCAAGGAGTGATAAGTATGGGTCTTCATTTCTTTCCTTTGCTTTCAGCAACATTCTTTTGACTGTCTGAACAGACTTCTCGGCTAGTCCATTAGCCTGAGGATAGGTTGGAGAAGATGTCACATGTTTGAAGCCGTATGACGGTGAGAACTGTTTGTATTCACTTGACGCATATTGGGGTCCATTATCCGAGATAACTTTGTCTGGCACTCCATGGCGTGCAAAGATTGACTTCATATGGGTTATTACAGAAGATGCCTTTGTGTTTGTCAGTGCAGCGATCTCTATGTACCGGCTATAGTAGTCAACAACTAGCAAGTATTCACGCCCACTGAAGTGGAAGAGATCTGTTGCCACCATTTTCCAAGGAAGACTTGGAATATCTGTGGGAATCATAGGCTCTTTGCTTGGCATCATTCGATATTGTTGAGAAACACTGAAAACGGATGGAGATGGACCCCCCATGTGTGTCTCTTGCGATGAGGTGTTCACCGTCAAGCATATCCTGCTTGAATGCGTGGACTTATCGCCTGCAAGGGACTCACATTATGATGCAACAAACCTAAAAGATCTGTTCTCACGCGTGAGCGCCCATCTGATACTGAACTACCTGAGGGAAGTTGATCTGTATCATAAATTGTAACTGTGAAATGTAACAACCATCAATTGTAACTATGAAATGTAACAATCCGCCTGCTTTTAAATTTGATGCTATGACTTTTTTCTGCTTTTGAATGACAATGTAATCAATAAATGTCTTTGAAATAAAACTCATTCCGAGTATGTACTTACAATATTTACTAATGCAAACTTGTTCTCGTCACTATATGGCTGGAAAAATGCCGATGTGACGTAAAGCTCAACTCAACTCAACTCAATGTCACTGGACATCCGAGGCCAGTACAGAAGATCCCTGGCACGATCTTTGCACTTTTGCATGCCCATGTGACCTGTATGAATTCTCTCCAACATCTGCTCTCTCATTACAGTGGGAATAATTACTTTTCTCCCTTTAAACAGAATTCCTTCAACATGACTTAATTCGTCACGAAATGTCCAATAGTCACGGGTTTCTGAGACACATTCCTTGACCGATGTAGGCCATCCATTGTGGATATACTTTGCTACTGCTTGTAGCGATGTATCCTGACTTGTTGCAGCTCTGATGTCAGACATCTTGTCGTTGGAGATTGGCAGGTTGGATATGACCATGTGTACATATGCTTGTACATCGTCATCTAGCGAGTTAATGTTGAGCAGTTTGTCTGTCTCTTTAAAGTGTCTCGATAGCATATCTGCCACTGGGATCTCCTTCCCAGGTGTGTACTGAACAGTCATGTCGTACATCTGTAGACGAATACGCATTCTTTGCAGTCTCAGCGGAACAGCATGTAATTTAATGTAATGTTTTTTAAATATTGTCTCAAGTGGTTTAAGGTCGGAGATGACCTTGAAGCTTTTTCCAAAGAGGTAGTGGTGAAATTTTTCACACCCGAACACGATTGCCATCATTTCCTTTTCTATTTGTGCGTAATTACGCTGTGAATCTGTCATTGCCTTTGAGGCATATGCTACAGGTCCTTTCTCCTGTAACAACACGGCTCTAACGCCATTTTGTGATGCATCGACCTGAAGAATCACATCTTTCTTTCGATCAATATACTGCAGCACAGGCCCTGGTGACCTTGTGATGAGATCTTTTATCTCACGAAAAGCTCTGTCATGATTTGATGTCCAATCCCAGTGTGAGTCGTTCTTAATGAGTTCACGGAGGACATGTGTTTTCTCTGATAGAGATGGCGCATAATGGGCTAAGTAAGTAAACATACCCAGGTATCCTTCAAGCTCTTTCTTGCAGGTTGGTGTTTCCATTTGTCTCACCGCCTCAATCTTCTCTGGGTCTGGCTTCATGCCCTCAGAAGTAAGAAGCTCGCCAAAGAACTTGACTTCTGTTTGGCACAGTTGAAGTTTGTCAACATTTAGTTTGATACCCTTCTTGCTTGCTGTTTCCAGTGCTTCTTTCAGGTTCTCGTCATGCTCCTGAATAGTTCTGCCTGATATCAGAATGTCATCCACAATAGGGTGAGTGTCTTTCAGATCTTCAAATGCTTTGTCCATACGTTTCTGGAACACTTCACTTGCAGTTTTAATTCCGAATGGTAAGCGCAGGAAGCGATACCGCCCAAACGGTGTGTTGAATGCTGTCAACAGTGATGACTCGTGGTCTAAGGGAATCTGCCAGTATGATGACTTAGCATCAAGGACTGTAAAGTACTTGTGCCCAGCTACTTTGCTTGTAACATCTTCGATTGTTGGCATTTTGTAATGTTCTCTGCGAACTGCTTTGTTAAGATCTGCAGGGTCCAGACACAAACGAATGTCACCCGAGGGCTTGGTGACTACCACTATTGAGTTTACCCATTGTGTTGGCTCATCAACCTTACATATTACTTGTAGGTTTTCCATACGCTGAAGTTCCAACTTGACTTTCTCTTCCATTGCTATAGGCAGCTTTCGCGGTGCATGAATAACAGGTGACACACTGTCATCCACCTGTATCCTGTACTCTTCTTTCATATGACCAAGTCCCTTGAATACATGTTCATATTCCTTGATCATGTCTTCAGCTTTACTTGAATGACAGCTTCTCTTGGCTTCTACCGATAGTAGAACTTTTACGAGTTTCATGTCTTCACATGACTTCAGACTCAATATGGAAGGTCCTTCTTCACTCACAACAAAGAATTTGAGATTGTCACTTGTACCTCCATACGTACATTTCAGTCTAACAGTTCCACGAACATCCAGCCATCTACCTCCGTACGCATGTAATTTTGAGTTTGCCTTTCTCCAGCGGTCCTAGAGTGTCAGCATAATTGTTGTAGTCACTTTCTGAAAGATGGTTTACTTGTGCACCAGTGTCAAGTTTCATGCTGATGGAATGATGATCATTCACTACTATATCTGCGAAAACTTCTGTTCTGTCAGCTTCATCAACTGCGTCCACATTGTTGTTGATACTACCAATAAAAAAATCATCCTCGAAGTCTTCTTCTATAGCATGAACTTGAGAATCAGGATTGCGTTTTGTTTTTTTTCTGGAATATGTCTGTTTATCAGAATTCCTGGGAGGTGGCCTATGTGACGACTTGTATCTGCATGCTGACGCAAAGTGGTTCATCTTATGACAGTTGAAACATTCCATACCTTCAGCTGGACATTTGTCTGTCCTGGCATGTTGCATAGCACATTTCGGGCAATGTGGTTGTAGGTTCTCACGTCTACCATAGTTCTGTCTTCTATTCATTTGTGTTGGGGGTCTAGAGTTTTTTTCTGATTTCTTCTGTGTTACGTGATGAACCTGGGATTCTGCACTAATTTCTTTCATTTGTTTCTTGCTAACTTCTACACCTCTGGCGATTGTGAGTGCTTTTGTCAGATCAAGATCATGTTCTTGGAGTAAACGTTCTTGAATTTGTTTACAGTTAGTCCCACACACAATTCTGTCTCTGATCATATCCTCAGAAATTAGACCAAAAGCACAGTCTTTAGCCAATGTTCTTAAATCCGTGAGATACTGATCAACTGATTCATTTGGGGCCTGATTTCTTGTATAGAATCTGTATCTGTTGATGGTGACATTTTGTCTAGGTACACAGTGTGCTTCAAACCTTTCCATCAAAGTTTTCACTTTTCCTTTATCACCTTCCCCAATTGTCCATGTATTGTAAATATCACGACCATCCTGACCAATGTATAGCAGAAAGTAGCTAAACTTTTCACTGTCTTGCTTGTTTGTAAGAGGGCCATCAAACAATAGTTGAATTGTCTGTTTCCATTTCTTCCAATTTTTCGCCAAATTATTTGACTCAAAGTTCAGAGGTTGAATGTCTATTTTAGTTGCCATTTTCACTTTAAACACTCACATTTGAGAGAATCCCACTTCTGACACCATGTTTCATCTTCATTAAGTTAGGATGGCTTGTGAACACAAGATTACACATGGATTGGACGTCATCAATTTATTTGATCGGTAGCCATGTTGTGTACATCAGTGACCTTCTTTTACACAAAAGTTGTACAGGCACCCAAAGAAGGAATCAGAGTAGGGATGTATATAAAAGTTGGAATGGTTATGACTAAATCGCAATATGATTCTTAAGTACCATACATTACAGAGACGATTTTCTAATTCAGTCAAGCTAGATAAAATTCCACTCAAGACATAAGTGAGTAACCTGCCACAGAATGTTGAAATAGCTACTTTGGCATTCGCGTTGATTTTGATATGGTTTTTATAAGTGATCCATAGGCAACCAACCTCAAACATTATACATGTAAGTAAATCTTCTGATATATTCCTTCAAAAACTTTAATCTGTTCACGCAATATTCTTCATACATAATTTATTAGGATTTGGAAATCTAAGACTGACTTAAGGTAAAATATGTTGAAAAATTCCACCCCGCCCCATCCTTTTCTCCCCAATGTAAAATGGCCAATATCTGCGAGGCTTTCGTTTTGAATTTGCAAAGAAATGATAAAAAAATGTTATATCATGGGATGATCTCATACTTATTTTACTGTTATAGTCGATATGGCGGCCATTTTGAAAAATGTCCGTCAATTTTCCCTTTTTCGGGTTGTCATGATATAAATTAACTTCCATAGACCTAACAATTAAAGATAGACAAGACGTGTATATATGGAAAATAATCAGCTATGAATATGCTACAATTTGATATATGATGTTTGAGAATTGGAGAATTTAAGAAAAAGTTATGATGAAAATAGTAGAAAGAATTATCATTTTTCGCTTTTTTCCCCAAAAATATGAAAAATATATAAAATCTGCGAGGCCTCTCGATCTTTATTTAATAAGAATGGTATAAGCTACAATCATGCCAAATTTCATGCTTGTAACACGAAGTGCACAATTCAGTGAAAAAACTGCACTTATCCGCTGGGCTATAATAGTAAATGAAACACATGATAGTAGACTCTAACAGTAAATGAAACACATAACTGTAGACTCTAATAGTGAATGAAACGAATGACTGTAGACTCTAACAGTGACTAAAACCGGAGATTGGGTGCGTGTCTGGGGATTTAAGTCGACATTTCAGATTAATGTATATAAACGTATATCGATCATCGAGATACTATGTCCTACGTAGGAGACAGTAAGTCCTACGTAGGAGATACTAAGTCCTACGTAGGAGATAGTATGTCCTTCGTAGGAGATACTATGTCCTACGTAGGACGTATTAAGTAATACGTAGGAGATACCCACGTAGGAGATAATACGTCCTACGTAGGAGATATTAAGTACTACGTAGGATATATTAAGTCCAACGTGGGAGATACCCACTTAGGAAATACTAACTCCTACGTAGGGTATAGGAAATACTAACTCCTACGTAGGGTATATTAAGTACTACGTGGGATATATTAAGTACTACGTAGGAGATAATATATCCTACGTAGTACTTAATATCTCCTACGTAGGAGATAATACGTCATACGTAGGAGATATTAAGTACTACGTAGGATATATTAAGTACTACGTAGGAGATACTAAGTGCTACATAGGAGATACTAAGTCTTACGTAGGATATATTGAGTACTACGTAGGAGATAGTAAGACCAAAAACATTTTACTTCTACGCTTCCGTAATATTCATATCTGTGATACTCTAGTGTTTTTACCGTCCATCGTCGACAGGTTTTACTCTTCAAAATGTTTTCAGTTTTTACTGTATGAATTGTTTTCGTCACGATATGGCTGAGATATTGCCAGTGTGACGTTAAATATTAACTCACTCATTCACCCCCACACTCTTCAGTTGTGTGAGTCTTCTAACCACAGTGAGCACACACAACAGATAATGTGCAAGTATTTACACCATGACCATACTTCTGGCACTTGTGGCATCGGTGTCTCACAATGCCTTTGCTGGAGTTCAGAGTTCGGTGGGCAGAGACTGATAAGGGAACGCCGACAAATGATTTAGTTGACAGGAAGGTCGATTGCCTGTTGTCTCTCACTGCATTCAACAAGTAGAGGACCTGTCCGCAAATGTTTTTAACATCAATACAATGCCTCCTATGTCTTTGATACGGCCAAAGGGTTCGGCTTAAAAATGTCTTGTCAACGGACTGTCTCAATCACTATAAAACGTGGCCAGTAGTCAGTGGAAGTGGACAGGCTTCAGTGGCAAAAGCTACTAAAAATTAGCGTTACCCAGCACTCAGAGGAAAGGAGAGCTTTCATATATTATTTTCACGTGCTTTAAGCGAGAAATGTATTTCTCGAAAAAACTGTAAATACATTGTAATGGGATGCCAATTACTTCAAATGCTGTGAATACGCAGTGCGATCTGGAAAGTACAGATTCTAGTATGTTTGTTGGGTTGAGTCCAATCTGGGATTCGAACCCACACCCTCAATGTCTGGCACACAATCGCCAACACACACAGCTAGATGTCTAACCCGTTCAAAGGATGAGGCGGTGGTGAAGCGGTTTAAGCGTCTGACTCTGTATTCAAGAATCTGTAGATTACTAAGAAGTGTAATAAAAAAGAAGATATGTTCACATGCTGTGTTTACAATTTTGGAAAATGTGTTTCCGTTCTTAAACAAATAGGGTACCACACGTTATGTAGAAGAAAAACTACTTCGGAGGAATGTATCGTAACGACTTAACACACTTCTCATGGCAAACGAGAGTGCGCATGATGACTTTGTTTACAATCATAAAGAAAACAAACCACTTACAACAGCTGTCTGGGTACAGTCAGCAGCAGCCGCAAGCCCGGAACATCCCCCTTCCAAATAAACTTCACTCAGCTCACAAGTGTACCCATCGCCAGACTTGCAGTAGGAGGCTGACAGACAGCCTGGGTCATTCAGACAGATAATAGAACACTCGATTCTGCTTCGGGCTGGTTTGAGAATCGCAAGGCCACTGCTTGACTTTGACGATGGGCAGTTCATGAACGGCACACGTCTTCTTGTCGCGACAACAACCAAGGGGAAGATAGCTAGTAAAAGCAATGGTGCAGGTAGAAACTTCATTGCTCCTTCCAGGCAGTCCCTACAATGATAATTACTCAATTTAAGAAAGACTTGAAATAAATTCAAACCAAGAAAATGGGAGGTGAATGTATATACATTATATATTCAATTCATAACTAATATTATGATTATCAATAACGATACCACTTCTCGATTTTGAAACGTTCACTACAAATTGCATATGTGTACTTTAATCACATATCTCAGTATGCATTACATCTATCTTTATCGAACCCTGTGTTAAAACCATCCCAAAACAAGTTTCCTCACTCTGAAAATAAATCACCTCACCCTCTAAACCCTAACAAATCGTGAATTTAAGATTTTAACTTTTTTTGTTCCACCATTACTCACGTATTAAATGTGAATATTAGCAGAACATAACTCCAGATTCAAAGACAGGTGAACAGTTAGTATTTTGTCAAGTCACCATGGGCAGCAATGCAAAATTCAATGCGGCGGGGCATACTACTGATCAAAGAAGTTAGAACGACGTGGTCCATGCTGTCCCAATATCGGACCACCTCTTCTTTCATTTCAGCAATATTTGTCAGATTTTTCTTATTGACACTTTCCTTCATAAGTCCCCAAACATTTTCTATTGGATTTAGGTCAGGGCTATAGCTTGGCCAATCTCAGTTCTAATTGTCTCCTTACAGACAGCCACAGTTCCTCTATCAGCCAGCCTTAAGTTTTCTAAACTCCTTCGTTTGTTTTTAGAAACAAGAATACCAAGCCGCCTCCTGTCACCGACAGTCAATTTTCTGGGCCTGCCTGCGCCTCCCTGGTGCTCAATGCCACATCCATTTGCAATATTTTTCAAAACACGACAAACAGTGGACAAAGGGATGCCTGTTCTACTTGAAATCACTTTAGCTTACCCGATGCCCTTGTTATAATATTCTAAAATCAACTTCCTCTTCTCTAAATCATCCATACTGGGCGATTAAAAGTTGCCAAAAGTTGCCTGCTTCACAATCGCCGGCCAACGAAACCACAGACAGGTTACGTAACTCTGTCGCCAGAGCACTGCAGTGACATCATATGAGGAAGGATTTTCAGTTAGTTGTATAATAAGTGTGTCGCAAGCTCGTCATTTTGATGATTTCTCAACATCAACGAAGACATGCCGAATCGTTGCGTTGTCGTCAATTGCTCCTGGGGGTCGGCGATGGTGTCACCATGCACAGATTTCCACAGGACCCCGCAGGTCCTGCTTAATGAGTTATGTTTGTGAGTGCGAAGCGAGTGTTGTGGAAGCCTGAAATGATATCTAACTTGTGTCAGATCTCTTCACAGATCAAAACTACTACGTCATAAAGTATAAAGAATGACCATAAAACTACTTACTAGTTGTAGTGAAAAGGTCGTATAAATATATTGAGTAGTGATGACCATAAAGATAGTTTCCATGCAAATCCTCTGGTTACAACTTGTAACATAGTACTTGATTTCTTCCAAACCAGCATTAAACCTCAGGCTATGGAGGACAGGGTGCCGCCATTTTGAAAATTGTAAAGTCACAGTAACTGTTAGAATTAATGAATATTGTCAAGTTAGTATTATTATATGTATTTGAATAATCACCCAAAGGATTTTCCATGACGCAATTGTTAACGATGTTACGGAAGCGAGGTGGGGGTCGAAGTGACAATACTACGTGCTAAATTTCTTGCTACATTCACAACTCACCGTATGTAGATACTAGTCAATGTACTACTATATTTGGTCTTATATCCTAATAAGTTTATTACAGTAGTATATACTATGATTGTCCGAGATCAAGTCCAACAAAAGCCTCTGTAAAGCTTTATTTCACAAATGAAGCTTTTTTCAGACCCTTAGATCTCGCTCCCATTGTATAGACTACTTTTGAACCCCCAGTTAACTTCCTTGCCCCCACGTGACACAATAGTGCCGCTATGACCGCGATCCTGATGACATGACACTATGTCGTGTGAAACAGTTTAATGTTTCGTACCCCTTGTTCTATGTACTTTTTTTTCTCATCTTCGCTGATAGCAGACTTACGAGCCTTGAGCCGGATTTCTTGTTTCATCTTACGGTACTTGTCGAGTTCAGAGAGGATTGAACGAGATTCCTCCTCTGAGATCTTACTGTCAGTGAGTGCTGTGGAAATACGCTCACTTACCGTGTTCAGCTTTGCTTCGGCCAGAATCCTGATCTCGTCGTGTTTCAATGCCTTCCGATGCAGTCTGTGTGACACAAACTTAAACACCAATCCAGCCAACCCTGACACCCCAGCTGTTATTTCAATGCCTAGCACTGCGGGTGCGGCTATGATGGTGGCCAACAACCCCACACCTACTGCCCCTAACCCCATACTGGTAGCCATAGGGGCGGTATCACCCCAATCCACGACATTGAAAGCTCTATGGTACTTCTTATACAATGCTGCCCATGTGTCGCAGTCTTGTTCTAGTTGGCGTTTGATGTCACATAACTGTCTCAAGTGGAACCCGTCTACGGTTTCCAGGGGCTTCGCTACTTCCTCTGCGACTGGGTACAGACCCATCCTGCGTACATATAATATATTCTAAAAAATATCTTTAAAATGTGCATAATTTACTTTTTTGCTCAGTGTATTTGAAGCTTACAAGTCTTAGACCCTTGTACAGAGAAATAGGGGAGAGGTAAATAGGTAACTGTGCGCCCACATGAACATTATCGAGGGAGCTTCCTAAGGAGTGTATTGAGGGTACTATAGAACCCGTTGAGGGGTCCGGTTGTATGACGATACGGCAATGTTCGCCCAGGCTTAGGGCGTCATAGCGTATTGTCACCCCGGGTAAAAGTTGCTGTTCTACAAGATCACCCCCCCATGAAGAAGACTTCTATGGCGAGTGTGGAGCCTGGTTTCACCTTCATAAGGTCCAATTGGGAATTGGGGACGTCAAACTTTAACTCGTCCTCCAAGCCTGAAGTAACTAACATGTTACCCGTGTGATCCCCCATTAGTTGAGTACTTATACCATACTTCGGAACGAAAGCCCCGAACAAGATACCGTTGTTCCTAATTTCGGAGATATGCCTATCTTTGTCAAACGAGATATAAAGTTTGGTGAGGGTCATGTTGAGCAACCATTTGGGTTCTATAAAGTGGTCTGGCAGACGCCGCCGCACATACACGCCGTTTCTTAAGTGCAGTACGTACGAGGTGTCTTCCTCACCGGGCAGATCGAATCCCTCCGTGTCTCCTAGATCGTTAAGTGTGGCGTTGGGTCGATGACTGGTCATTGTTATATTACTATCATAAGATAGTTTCCAACTGTTTTTCTGATAATTTCTCAGGGGTGCAGTTCACCCCCATGAAGTGTATGTTGTCGGGTAGGAAGATCTTGGTGAGTGATATCGTGCCTTCCACGGTCACGGTGACCCCCTGCAGACTGGTGTGGGAGTCGACACCCACCGGCATGTAAACAGTGCAAACCTGATACTAGTGGCGTTTCACCCACCGGAGTTTGATTCCCTTCACGATTTCGACTTCATCCGGCGATGGTTCCCCTAGGTAGACTTTGATGACCAGCATGGAGTTCGTCGGTAGGCTCGCCAGGATGTTGACCACGCCAGCGAATTCAGACACCAACTGCAATGCCCCATCTTGCACTCCCGGTTTACTCGATAGCATGTGGGCTGCCATACCGGCAACTGGGCTGATGATTACACTACATCTCTGCGCCGGGACGTAAGCCACGAGCAGGGTTCCGTTGTTCACGACTTTGTTTAGGTAGTTGTCTTTGTTCTCCGTGAACACGTAGGGGGAGCCAAGCCTAATGTTGAGAAACCAGTCGACTTTAGCGGGCAACAACACCCATTTGTCGTCGTCAGTGAAGACGAGCGTATATGGTTTGTTTCAGGCGATGGTCGTCCTATCAACATTTTCTAAGTCGAACAGTTTGCCTCCGAACGATTGGGATACCGCCCATCTATCATCACCGATACGGATTAGGTCGAATCGAGTGTTGAGGGCCGCTCCTGAGACATCTACTATGTCACCTAGGGTTCTACCGATGGAGGGGACTTCAACGCGTTTGTAAATGTGTTTTTTCAGTTGCAAGGTGTACAGTTTACCATCTACTCCGGGGTCGTCGAATCCGCGTATGTCCCCGAGGTCGGAGATCCCCGCATTGATGCATTTTTCAACCTCATTCCGGGGGCCTTGTGTGCTAGTCATTTTATGTGCAGCGTTATGCTGAGGTATCCTATATTCACAGGATTATGCTTTATATCTAACACTGATATTATCAACTCAGGGATGTTGCCGAGTTGGTTCTGGCGTTGTTGTATTTCTCCGTTTTCACTGGTACGGCTCTCAGTATCGTGGAAGAGTGCCCCCCTTGAATGTTGTCCGTTGTGCTCAACTAACCGAGATGAACGCACAGCTCTCGGTACGGTACTAGGTCGGGTAACTTCGTGCCTGTGACGGTAGTTGTTGGTTTTATCTCGTGCGGCGACATCCCGAGTGTCCTCGCCAATGGTCGACCGAGCCTCAAGGGGTTTATCCCGTTGTTGATTAACACCACTGTGCCGTTTGAGTCGTTCATGTTGAGTTCCGCTCCCAAGGGTTTGAAGACCTCGTCACTTAGCGAGCACACGCTGTAGTAGCCGTCAGTTATCTGGTTGCAGGCGCCACTGATGAACAGCTTGTTGTTGTTGACGTTGATGTTAGTCCATCGTGGTAGGTAGGTGATATCGCAGAGTGCGACTTCGAGGTGGCCTGACGTGTTATCGATCGCGTGCATCAACTGAATGGACTCGCCGCTCGTTATTCCTGGAAGTGTTAAGTACAAGTTAGAGTATATATACCCATTATATAATACTTTAAAAAATGTACAAGCCAGGAGTGTTTTACCCTAAACTGGACATAGATTTTCCACACATGAAGATTGGGGTCGACGCTGCTGGGCTGTATTTCAGTGCCCAGTTTATAGATGTGTTTGACCGGTATAAGCTTTCGGTGACTAACGTCAAGGCAGTCCATCGGTTGATTTTAAAAGT